GTACCCCAGTGTTCATAGCAGCACTCTCCACAATAGCTAAAACATGGAAAGAGCCTAAGTGTCCATCAACGGACGAATGGATCAAGAAGATGTGGTTTATTTATCCCATAGAATACTACATGGCAATGAGAAACAGTGAAATCTGGCCATGTGTAGCAACATGGATGGACCTTGAGGGTGTTATCTTGAGCGAAATAAGTCAGGCAGAGAAGGACAAATATCATATGTTTGCACGTATAGGAGGATTAGGAGGAACTTAACTGAGGAACAAGGGGGAGAAGAAGGGGGGAAATGGTGGGGAAAAGGGAGAGAGGCAAACCATGAGAGACTGTTGAATGCTGACAAAAACTGAGGACTGATGGATGTGGAGGGGAGGGAGGGATGGGCATGGAGGAGGGCACTTGTGGGGATGAGCACTGGGTGTTATGTGGAAACTAATTTGACAATAACTATTTGTAAAAGAAAAAAAAATGTCATACTCCTAGAGCGCCATAGAGTAGAACCAGGGACTAGGAGGTGGGGAACATGGTGGAGATGTTGGTCAGAGGGTACAAGCTTCCATTTATAAAATGAGTAAGTTCTGGGTATCTAATGTGAAGCACAATGACTAATAGTTCATCCTAATGTATTATATACTTGAAATTTGCCGAGAGAGTAAATCTTAAGTGTTCTCACCACACACATGCACACAAAATAGTAATTGTGAGGTGATGAATGTAAGTTGATTTTGATAATTATTTCACAGAGTATACATATTTCGGATGATCACATTGTACGTCTAAATATACGTAATTTTTTTTGGGTCAATTATACTTCAGTAAAGCTAGAAAAAGGTGGGAGGTATGTTGACCTTACCTCTTCTGGATGGTGCCCAGTCCTAGCTTCAGATTAGATTGCTCAGGCATTTTGCAGATACATCTTTTGTGCCCCGCCCCCTGATAGATTCCCCTCCAGATAGTTGTCAGAGGCAGCCTGAATATTTGAAGTGCCCCAGGTATTTCTGATCTGTATCCAGAGTTAAGTACCAAGTCCTGGGTCCTTATGACTGAAGACTGAAATCTGGGCTGAGGGCGAGTGGGTTTCTGCTCTGCATGGGGTTTGATCAGGGTAGGTCTGTGATTTGAAGGGAGGGTCAGTGTAGCTGAGGTCCTCACTGCTGCAGTGTGTGTGAGCACTTCACCAGGAAGGGAAAGTGATCTGAAGAAAAGGGAGGGAAAACTCCCTTGTTGGTGTCCGTGGAGGTGTTTACTGTCCGTTAGCCCCTCCGTGGCCGTGGGCAGAGAGGGCTGTCTCTCCCACATGATGAGGACTTCCCTGTTTGTGTGGTTGTGGCACAGGATGGGGTATGATCATTCTAAGCTTTAAACAGCATATTTTCAACTTTTTAGGTGGGCTTCTAAGAAAGACCCATGTTGCCTGAGGAAGAGGCCCAGAGGAGGAGAAAGAAACATGAAAGAGATGGGAATGACATTTTCTCAGGTAAAGTCATATTCTTGGTTGATGTTCCATTTCTTCTTCCTGTTTGTTATAGACTCTGGGTCTAGAGTTCTTTCTTGTCTAGCAAGAAAGTGGGTCACAGGATTAAAATGTGAGAGATGGCTAATGTCCTGGAGAAGACAAGAGCCATGATTAAGGGTCTTGATCCAATTTTATTAGGATCAGAAGGCTTACAAACATGGTGAGGCACTGCTGCACAAAGAGACACTAAATCTGTGAATGTTAACTCATGGGCGTGAGGGAAAGGGGGTTTTGAAGATACACGGAGTTAGGGTTTGGGTCAGTATAAAACAAAATCCTGGCGCTGGGCAGATGGACGTTACCAGCAGACAGGAGATGCAGTGTCTGTTTATCTTAGCCAGCATAGGGGATAACACAGATAGAGCATGCAACCTCAGGGTCATCAAGGCACCTTTCTTTTGCTAATTTGCTCCACTCTGGACAACTTTGTCCCACTAAGGACTATATCCCTATTTACCTAATTACCTAATTTGGTCCTTCCTTCCTATGAAAGCAGTTTTCTTCTATAGTACTAAATTGGGGGCATTTTTGCCCTGAATACCTAATCTTGCTTACCTCATATAACTTTGTATTCGAGCCTTTGCCCCAAACTCTCTCTCCTTATTTGCCTAATCTTGTTTACCCAGACTTGGGTATGAGCATCCTATGGCTTTGTAATTCTTTTTTTTTTTTTTAAATAGTTTATCGTCAAGTTGATTTCCATGTAACACCCAGTGTTCATCCCCACAAGTGCCCTCCTCCATGCCCATCATCCTCCTTCCCCTCCCCCCCATACCCATCAGTCCTCAGTTTGTTCTCAACATTCAAGAGTCGCTCATGGTTTGCCTCCCTCCCTCTATCCCATTTCCCCCCTCCATCTCCCCCACGGTCCTCCGTTAAGTTCCTCCTAATCCTCCTATATGTGCAAACATATGGTAGCTGTCCTTCTCTGCCTGACCGATTTTGCTCAAGATAACACCCTCAAGGTCCATCCATGTTGCTACACATGGCCAGATTTCATTGTTTCTCATTGCCATGTAGTATTCCATGGTATAGATAAACCATATCTTCTTGATCCATTCGTCCGTTGATGGACACTTAGGCTCTTTCCATGTTTTGGCTATTGTTGAGAGTACTGCTACATACATTGGGGTACATGTGCCCTTATGCTTCAGCACTCCTGTATCCCTTGGGTAAATTTTTAGCAGTGCTATTGCTGGGTCCTAGGGGAGTTCTATCATTAATTTTTTGAGGAATCTCCACACTGTTTTCCAGAGGGGCCGCACCAGTTTACATTCCCACCAACAGTGTAGGAGGGTGCCCGTTTCTCCACATCCTCGCCAGCATCTAGAGTTCTCTGATTTGCTCATTTTAGCCACTCTGACTGGCGTGAGGTGGTATCTCAGTGTGGTTTTGATTTGTATTTCCCTGATGAGGAGGGATGCTGAGCATCGTTTCATGTGTCTGTTGGCCATCTGGATGTCCTCTTTGGAGAAGTGTCTGTTCATGTCTTCTGCCCATTTCTTCACTGGGTTGTTTGTTTTTCGGGCGTGTAGTTTGGTGAGTTCCTTATAGATTCTGGATATTAACCCTTTATCTGATATGTCATTTGCAACTATCTTTTCCCATTCCGTTGGTTGCCTATTAATTTTCTGGGTTGTTTCCTTGGCTGTGCAGAAGCTTTTAATCTTGATGAGGTCCCAACAGTTTATTTTTGCTCTTGATTCCCTTGCTTTTGGGGATGTGTCAAGTAAGAAGTTGCTGCGGTGGAGGTCAAGGAGGTTGTTTCCTGCTTTCTCCTCTAGGGTGTTGATAGTTTCCTGTCTCACGTTCAGGTCCTTTATCCATTTTGAGTTTATTTTTGTGTATGGTGTGAGAAAATGATCTAGTTTCATTCTTCTCCATGTTGCTGTCCAGTTCTCCCAGCACCATCTGTTAAAGAGGCTGTCTTTTTTCCATTGGATGTTCTTTCCTGCTTTGTCAAAGATTAGTTGGCTGTATACCTTTGGGCCCAGCTCTGGTTCTCAGTTCTATTCCATTGGTCTATGTATCTGTTTTTGTGCCAGTACCATACTGTCTTGATGATGACAGTTTTGTAGTAGAGGCTAAAGTCTGGGATGGTTATGCCTCCCGTTTTGGTTTTCTTCTTCAATATTAGTTTGGCTATTTGGGGTCTTTTGTGGTTCCATACAAGTTTTAGGATAGTTTGTTCTAGTTTTGAGAAGTATGCTGGTGCAATTTTGATTGGAATTGCATTGAATGTGTAGATTACTTTGGGTAGTAATGACATTTTAACTATATTTATTCTTCTAATCCATGAGAATGGAATGTTTTTCCATTTCTTTGTGTCTTCTTCAGTTTCCTTCATAAGTTTTCTATAGTTTTCATCACACAGATCTCTTGTATCCTTGGTTAGGTTTATTCCGAGGTATTTTATGGTTTTTTGTGCAATTGTGAATGGAATCAGTTTCTTGATTTCTCTTTCTGTTGCTTCATTGTTAGTGTATAAAAATGCATGTGATATCTTTGAGTTGATTTTGTATCCTGCAACTTTGCTAAATTAATGAATCAGCTCTAGTAGGCTTCTGGTGGAGTCTGTCGGATTTTTGATGTAGAGTATCATGTCGTCTGCGAAAAGTGAGAGTTTGACTTCTTCATTGCCAATTCTGATGCTTTTTATTTCCTATGTTGTCTGATGGCTGATGCTAAGACTTCCAGCAGTTTGTTAAACAACAGTGGTGAGAGTGGACATCCCTGTCGTGTTCCTGATCTCGGGGGAAAGCTCTCAGTTTTTCCCCCATTGAGGATGATGTTAACTAAGGGATTCTCATAGATGGCTTTTATGATGTTTAAGTAAGTTCCTTTTATATCAACTTTCTCGAGGGTCTTTATTAAGGGATACTGTATTTTGTCAAATGCTTTTTCTGCATCTATTGACAGGATCATATGGTTTTTATCTTTTCTTTTGTTGATTTGATGTATCACATTGATTCATTTGCGAATATTGAACCAGGCCTGTAACCCAGGAATGAATCCCACTTTATCTTGGTGGAGAATTCTTTTTATGTGCTGTTGAAATTGATTTGCAAGTATCTTGTTGAGGATTTTTGCATCTCTATTCATCAAGGGTATTGGCCTGTAGTTCTCCGTTTTTGCTGGGTCTCTGTCTGGCTTGGAAATCAAAGTGATGCTGGCTTCATAAAATGAGTCCGGAAGTTTTCCTTCGATTTCTGTTTTTTTGGAGTAGCTTGAGAAGAATGGGTATTAATTCTGTTTTAAATGTCTGGTAGAATTCCCCAGAGAAGCTGTTTGGCCCAGGGCTCTTATTTGTTGGGAGATTTTTGATAACTGATTCGATTTCCTCACTTGTTATTTGTCTGTCCAGGTTTTCTATCTCTTCCCGTATGAATTTTGGTAGTGAGTATGTGTTTAGGAATTTGTCCATTTTTCTAAGTTGTCCAGTTTCTTGGCATATAGTTTTTCATAGTATACCCTGATAATTGCTTGTATTTCTGAGGGGTTGGTTGTAATCAGTCCATTTTCATTCATGATTTTGTCTATTTGAGTGCTCTCTCTTTTCTTTTTGAGAGGCCTGGCTAGAGGTTTGTCAATTTTGTTTATTTTTTCAAAAAGCCAACTCTTGGTCTCATTGATCTGTTCAACTGTTTCTTTGGTTTCTGTATTGTTTATTTCTGCCCTGATTTTTATTATTTCTCTTCTCCCGGGTTTGGGGTGCTCTTGTTGCTCTCCCTCTAGTTCCTTTAAGCGCGCTGTTAGATTTTGCACTTGTGCTTTTTCTAATTTCTTGAAGTAGACCTGGAGTGCAATGTACTTTCCTCTTAGGACTGCCTTTGCCACATCCCATAGAGTTTGGATTGTTGTATTTTCATTTTCATTTGTTTCCATATATTTTTAAATTTCTGCTCTAATTGCCTGATTGGCTCATTCACTTTTTAGTAGGGTGTTCTTTAACCTCCATATTTTTGGAGGTTTTCCAGACTTCTTCCTGTGATTGATTTCAAGTTTCATAGCATTGTGATCTGAAAATGTGCTTGGTATGATCTCAATTCTTTTATATTTATTGAGGGTTGCTTTATGTCCCAGTATGTGATCTATCTTGGAGAATGTGCCATGCACACTTGAGAAGAAAGTGAATTCCATGACCTCAGGATGTAGAGTTCTAAATATATCTGTCAGATCCATCTGGTCCAACATGTCATTTAAGTCCATTGTGTCTTTAGTGATTTTCTGGCTGGTTGATCTGTCCATTGCTGTAAGTGGAGTATTAAAGTCCCCTGCTATTAGCACGGTCTTATCGATAAGAGTGTTTCTGTTTGTGTTTAATTGTTTCATGTATTTAAGTGCTCCCATATTCGGTGCATAGACATTTATAATTGTCAATTCTTCCTGATGGATAGATGCTGTAATTATTATATAATGCCCTTCTGCATCCCTTGTTATTGTCTTTAATTTAAAGTCCAGTTTGTCTGATAAAAGTATATCTACTCCAGCTTTTTTTTTTTTTTTTTACTTCCAGTAGCATGATATTTCTCCATCCCCTTACTTTCAACCTGAAGGTGTCCTCCAGTCTAAAATGAGTTTCTTGTAGACAGCAAATAGATAGATTTTGTTTTTTTATCCATTCTGCTATCCTTTCTCTTTTGATTGGGGCATTTAGTCCATTTACATTCAGTGTTATTGAAAACTATGAGTTTAGAGTCATCATGTCATTTATGGGATTTATGCTTGTTGTGATGTCTCTGGTATCTTGTGTTCCTTAAACATTTACCTCAGAGAGTCCCCCTCAGGTTTTCGTCTAGGGCTGGTTTAGTGGCAACGAATTCTTTCAATTTTTATTTGGAAAGACTTTGTTCTCTCCTTCTATTCTGAATGACAGGCTTGCTGGATAGAGGATTCTTGGCTGTATATTTTTTCTGTTCATCACATTGAAGATCTCCTGCCATTCCTTTCTGGCTGCCAAG